ACTTTATTTCATAAATCTACTAGATACAAAAAATTATAGACTAACTATAGACATTGGATTTATGGCACATTATAACCTGCCTGCCATCTGAGAACCCCAGGTAACCTATTTCCATCTTTACCAGCTACTTTCTATTACCAGGTCAACAGTCCTCCCTTTCCACCCCGCACACCTGTCTCACATCTATTGTTTTCTCATATTCTCTGATCCTCACTACCACACATTTGCATTTTCACAGACCTGCATTTTGTATATTGGCTTCTATTCCATCCAGGAGAATACAAAACACCATCAGACTCTCCTTATGCCTGAAGAAGGGTGCTGTGCCTGAAAGCTTGCAAAGAATAATTTTTCCAACTATTTGGTTGGTCTAATAAAAGATATCACATTTACCCAAAGGACCCTGTCTGCATATTAGGGCTGTGCAAAGCTTCAGTTGCCGATTCAATTTGGTGGAGATTCAGCCTGATTCGGCGGCTGGATCTCTAAATTCAAATTGAATCAGGAGACCCTTTAATCTCTCCAAATTGAATCAGAACCCTCGGAATCAATTCAGAGAGATTCGGAAAGATTCGATGATTCAGACAGACGCAGCTTTAAATGTTTTTTCTACGTACTTCAAGGTACCAGGCACCTCATGAATGCTTTGATACTGCGGCAAATGGAGCGTCCCACAGGAGTGCAGGGGGTGCGGGGGTCCCAGCGCGCTCAGCAGTGGACCCAGAAGTGGACCAGAAACACTTCCAGTCCACTTCTGGGTCTGCCAGGGAGCACGTGGGGGACCCCCTCCCCCACCCCAGCAACTGGTGCCTCCATGGCCAATCGGGACAAGAAAGTACTTCTGGTCCACACGTGGGGGGCCCCCACCACACTCCTGTGGGACGCTCCATCTGCCCCACCACTGCAGCATTCACAAGCTGTGCCTGGTACCTCAAGGTATATAGAAAAAACATTAACAGCTGTGTCTATGGCTTATTCGCTGGTTCTCCGAATCAGCACTGAATCTTTAGATTTGGATTCAGCCAAACTGAATCGGGGCAGTGATCAGAATTAATGAATTGAACCACTGTCCCTGATTCGGGTTAAATCCAAATTGAATATGGCCTGTTTTGCACACCCCTACTGCATAAGTCCTTAGACCAACACAGCTACAACCAACATAGTTCATGATGGAATTTATAAAATATCAGCCCTACTGGTCTACAAATAGTTTAACACATCCACTGAAACTACTGAACATCCTCATTTTGGATTCTCCTGCTCTGAATGGGATCCACATGGAAAAAGGATTGAATACAAAGAAGGGAGGCTCTGATATGCTAAACTGGCATTGTTTCAGCCACCTACCACACGGCATGTTAAGGAAAAAGCCAAACCATTGGCAAATGTGCAGCAAATAGCAGACTGGCAGCTTTGCAGAAATAAGCAAGTAGGTTGTGCATTTGGAAGCATTAAAAATGTTCAGGCCATACAGAAAGACATATGAAAGCATAAGAAAACTGGTCCAAATTCATCCCAGAATAAATCTGCCATTATTGGGGTTGGGCTATGTCACTTCTCAGTTTGCATCATGTGTTCATGCTTTTTTAAAGCTGGGAAAACTTGACTTCCTACAGGCTAACCTGTTAATGTGTCTAGGACTTAACTCATCAGTTTTCTATACTAAGTTTTAATGAATTGCCACAAGCATGTCCTGAATTTAATACTAGCATTTGTTAAATGAATAAAGAAACCAAAACATCATGAACAGCACAGACATAAGTCATCCATTTGTAAGCTATTAGGTGACCTATAGAGGGCTAAAAGGAAGTGAACATGGCCCCAAAGTAGCAAAAGTGATGGCAATGGGCCTGAAATCTTAAAAATACTGAAGAGGCAAATAACTGTGCCACCTTTCCCTAAGGATCCTAAATGGAGTGAAATAGGTGCACCATTCATATCCTAACACTCTGGAATTAAGGGTCCCCTCTCAGCAAGAAGGCAACTATAGACAGGGGAATCAGCTGAAGGAAACAGCGAAGTTTGGAGAGGTTGTGGGGTCTTTTCAACTTCAGAGAAGCATCTGAATTTCTAGAACTTACTTTGGCATTCGCTGAAAATACTTATATGTTCACAAGGATGTGTCAGGAAAGGTCCTTCTGAGGGTGGGATAACTTCTTAGATATGGAGATGGCCTTTGGAATAGGTTTTACAGTGCATGTATGAAACATTTTGGTACAAAAGGGTATAAAAACATGGTAAAACCAATTACCAGATTTCACAGTCAAGTGACTGTTATAAAAGCTTTGCCAATTCTCTCAACTTAACACATGTCACAGCACAGAGTAAAACCCTAATGAATTACATTCACTACATTATAAAAGGTCTGCCTATGTTGTATGTGCTACTGGGCCTTCCAGAGAAAGGTTAGTGTTTGCAGTTGTTTTTTTGCTGGCTGCACACCACAGCTCCTTTCTCACATTTCCCTGAAAGTAAACTTTGTACACTGACAGGTGAAGACTCAAGCATGTACCATGCTGCCAAATCTAATCAGGGAGAACTATAAGCAGCCTCCCTCCAGGGCTGCTTCTCTGAATTAAAAGTTTGCAGAGGTCAACAACCTTATTGCCCTAGGTTTTGTTGCAAGCTGAGGAGGTTTTATTCTAGCCTGTCAGCCTACTCAACTGGAAGTTATTAGGGTTCTCTGCTACAAAAGGATCCCTACCCAGTCTCAAACATTTTATACTGTTAACAAATGTTGGGAAATCCCACAAATTAGCCAAGATACAAACACAAGTCTGTCATCATTATAAACTTGAACCAATTATAGATTGCTCAGAATAACCACATTACAGACCTTATCCCCAGCATAAATACAATTTACATGTCTGTCTACAATATGTACATGCTGATTGTAGTTAAAAGCTGTAAATACATTTTGTATAAGAAACAGGCAGACAAACAAGAAAGCCAGCTTAAACTGAGACCTCTTTAAATTCATGTGATCACAGAATATGGTTTTACAGCAGTGAGTGAACAAGTATTATCCTTTGTTTTTTCTAGAGTTTAAAAATCACTCTTTTTCTGTGAGGAAAGCTGCCTATAATTGTCTACTGTATCCTTATAACTATAAGGCTGTTTCAGTAACTAACAGCAATTTTGGAATCCATTTTGTGTGCAATGATCATTTACAGGACCACATCACTAGTCTACACAGTCAACTTCTTTGTGGCACAGGTATTTCTATAGGTCACAAGTTTCTTGATGCGATCCTCAAAAGCAGCTTTTTGGCTACTGTGACAGCCACTTCTGCACTGCATCACTGACAAATCTGCACCTATGAGGAGCGTCCTGCAATGGTCTAACCAAGTGGTAATCACTTGGCACAAGATCAAGACTGTAGGGCAAACATGGTAAGATTTCAAAGCCCAGTCCATGCAAAGTCTTGGCAGTCATCCATGTACAGTGTAACCATGCATTGTCATGCTGGAGGAAAAACCACCTTGATTGAGCTTTCCACACCATTTGGTCCAAATATCCGGCCTCAGGTGTTTTGTAGAACATGGTAAGAAGTGGTGCTGTCGATCATGACCCCATGCTCCATGAAGCAGACAAGTAGTGGTCCTATAGCATCCCAAAATGGGACGAGAAAATTCTTGCTGGAGGACAGCTGAGTGAAGAACTTTTTGGGCAGTGGTGATGATGTGTGTTTCCACCACATGATCTGCCTTTTGCTCTTTGGATCATAATGGTGGACCCAGATCTCATCCCCAGTAATGGTGCACAAAAGGAACCCCTCACCTTCATCCCGTATACAGTGCAGAAGCTGAATACACACTTTCACATTTATACACTTTTGTCAGTTGCTTTGTCACCCAATAGGCACACACTTTCCCATAATTCAAGTGATTGTGCAAAATGGCATGGGTACAGCCAGCATTTATGACTATTTCTGCCAATAGTTCAGGAAGGCTCACTTGCTTGTTCACATGTACAGCGGTGTTTGTCCTCTGTCATGGTTGTGATGGGGCATACTGCCTGGGGGTCATATGGACGTGTGGCTGTTTTTGAACTTCTCCAGCAACACACAGAACTTCTACCCAGCTATACAATTCTCACTGTATTGTGCGAAAATTCTATGGTGAATTTTGCTAAGTGGTGCACACACACACAAAAAATGACAACACTGTTCTTTTATGCACACTGACAGCACTGTAGCCATGTTATTTACATGCTCACTAACATCACACATGTTCAGCATAAAATGATGAGTGTGTTCAACAGTGTCACCATCGGTGTTTCCCACTGCTGTGTAGTTATCTACTTTGTTACAGAGTATATGCATCCATTTTGCTGTTAGTTTCTGAAACACCCTGCTATTTATAATAAGCCATAGGAACCTCTCCATGCCAAAAATAAATATCACCCAAATGTGTCCACAAGTATGGAAACGGAGGAGCAGCACCCTCTCTGAGTATGTGGAATACACTCCTGGAAGCAACATACTCCCTTAACTAAGTTAGGATGTGTGGTAAGTAATGAGAGGGTTAAGCTGGTGAATAGCCACTCAACAAAGCATACCCTGAAAAGCAACAGGCTTTCATGTGGAAGATTCATCTAGAGTAACCACTAACAAAAGCAGGTGCTCATTTAATCTACACAACTTAAAGCAATATGCAGAAGGGCTTATATATTCTGCAGCTTTGGCCAGCACATCTCATATCAGTAATGCCAGAAAACTGGGAAGAAGCCAGGAGCATAGAGATGCTGGCTGTATTCATAGGACTGGAACCAGGGTATTTGAATAAATCTGAGGAAAGCATACAACTAATGTCTACAGAGCCCAACACAGTAGCACACAGAATTTTCTGAATAATTTTTCCCATTCTTTGTGTTTATGTAGCTGGGGATGGTTCTGCTCAGTCTCATGAAACATAGGTTATATGCTAGCTGTCCTTCTGAGTGGGCTGGAAGGGTGGAAATTCTCTTTCTGGGGCTGAGAATCCAGAATGGATACTTACACAACTCCCAGCAAGGATCTCTGGCAATAATGCAATGGAACCATCTCTCCGAGTGAATTTGTCTCTGACAAAATCATTAACCTAATTAAAAAAAGAACAAAAAAGATAATCAGTTTTCTAGTTGAATATATTTTTCAAAGCATATCACATATTTTTGTAACCAAGCTGATTAAAACACTCAGAAGAATATCATTCAAGCACTTAAGGAAATACATTCTAGGTGCTTTTATGAACACAATATGTCAGAAAAAAATTGATTCAATGAGTACAAATTTGAAAAAAAATAAGGGGTACAATTAGTTTAATTTAGAAAAAAGATACTTACTGTGAGCTTAATAGCCTTTTCTGGAGCAACGCCTATAAGCTGTGGTAACAAACCTATAAAAATAAAAGAAATCATAATCTCAAAATGTAGTAATTTTATAAGAGTCCAGCACTGATACGCTCCACTTGTGATAATCAATGTCAATCTTGCATGTGAAGCTGGCTACAGCTCTAGGTCCTGAACAAGGATATTTTATATGTCAGTAAATGTTTTAAGACTTCTGTTGAAAATAGTAATACAAAGGATAATCTGACCCTCCTTCCACAATCAAGTTAAACCAGAAATGGTGGTGGTAAAGAAAAAGGGTGATGGGGGCCTATAATGTTTGTTCACACAAGGTTATTCAGCATTCACAAAAGTATTTTTGCCCTGTTACTCAGAACCTGTGTGTCCTGAAGTGCACAACTATATATTTACAGCATGGGTGAGTGATACTAAAGTATTCAAAAGGCTACCCAATACTTTGATCCTTGTGGTACACTGAGAGCACAGATTAAGCTTGAACCTGTTCTTTTTAGAAGTACTTGTACTTTTGATGAAGCAGGAATGAGTCAGCTAGAATTAAACCCATAAAGAACAGTATCAGGTTTTCCAAACTAGGGTGAGTTTTGAAACGAAATTTAACTTAAAAATGTTTGAAATTTAAAGAACAAATAAATAAGCAAACAAACAAACAGAGGCTGGCAGATGTTTAAGCAAAGCAGTGAAATACAGTTATGCATTGCCTTTTCTATTCTATCTGTTTATTAGAACATGGACTATACTATTTAGCTCATATGTATAGCTTTTCTTGCATGATATGATAGCATATTATATGTTTTTAAATTACGGAAATAAACATACAAAATGGTTGCAAATAGTTGACTTAAAGAATTTCCACCTATTCAGGCCAGCCTGACAGCCTGCACCCCAGTCCTATTCAGAAATGTTTTCTATCAAGAGCAGCAAGTCTGTCAAAATCCTAATCCATTTTTTTTTTACTCATAAACAGCACCAATATTTGTGCTGTTAGTCAATCCGAATTTCCAGCCACCAAAGCTGCTCCAGTGAGCAGACTGATTTAAAAGATAAAGCAGTAGATGGCAGTCTTAACTTCCTAACGTCCCTGATTATATCAGCGTTATTTATTCAAACTCTTTAGCACTTTACTTTTTTCTAAGTGTTATAAAATACACACAGAATGGCATATTTGCTCAGATTTTTTTTATATTACTGTAGTTTGAAGGAATATTATGCATAAGCTGTCACCAGATGTGTTACCAGGAAAAAACAAGCAAACAAACAAAACAGACCAGTTCTATGCCACAGACACCGTCAGTAAAACTGCAATAAAAATACAGATTTCCCACTGTGTGACTAGTAAGGCAGAAAGAAAATATTTTCATATATGTTTTTATCTAATAAAACAATAAAGGAGGCAGGCCTAAGATCACCCATTACATTCAGCCTATTTAATTTATGGAGTACCTTCACATAAGAAAACCCACAATAAACAGGCACCTACATAAAAGGATCAACAACTATTATGCAATGTCTTGTATTAGTCCAACACTGTACTTTGTGTGATTTACAAGCTATGCTAAGGAAAGGTAGTTATTAAATGAAGAGAAAGGTTGACAATAACAAAAAGAAACGCTGCCCTCCCATCTTGAATCTCTGATATACTGTGAAAAGAAAGATCCAGATCTATAGAGCCTACAGTTTAAAAAAAACTAGACAAAACATAAGACACACCTCCCACTGCATTTCATGTAAAGTTAAATACAGTATGTGAACACATAATGTAAATCTGTGCTTTAGAGAGCATGAGCTCCAGTGCTAGAATATGCTGAATCTTAAAAACATTTCAGAATGAATTTTGGAGTTGGGTTCCAGGATTCAAGAGCCTTATGATTTTTGTTTTGAATTTAGAAAAAATAAACACTAAATATTGCAATAGCTAAACATTTCTGTCTAATTTGTGTAATAAATACTTGCACAACAAATCAGCATTGTTTTTTAACATCTGAATACAATTTAATCAAATTAATGAATCTAACTAAAGATACACAGTTAATCTCTTTGGTGAATGTAACAAAAATTCTTTCCATTTCTATATAAATTTCAATTAAGAGTTGTCTGACATGTCTCTGGAGACAAACTAACACTATAAACTGAAGTAACTTTGTATCAAGGTACCGAAAATGTGTTTGAAAAACTTCATGTTTTAGACAGACAAAAGTAGTCTAAAAATGTGATAGGATTGTAATAACAATTATTAAATGTATTCCCCAAAATATTTAAGCACCCTCTCATCATTTAAAACAAACAGCCAACACCTTCTAGCGTGTAAAAATTTGTCAAGAGTTACAGAGATAATAAAAAGGAACAGTTAGTAATAATAAAAACTTGTGTTCATGCCAAGAAGCTCCAATGCAAAAATATTCACTTAAAAAAGCGGGGGGGGGGAAAGAGACTGTCAATGCACCAGGTAGGACAAGGAGAATTTTAGAGTTTGAGATCTTATTTTAAACATGAATTAAGGGGAGGGGGGATATTGTTTTTGTGTAAAAATAGCAACCTTGGAAAGTAAATTAATTTCGTAAGTTATATGAAACAGTCAATAAAATAAATGAAAGCAAGAGGTCCTTAAACCTCAGTCTTTAAATGACCAATTAGAAGGTTCTCTACCATAGGAGTTACTAACTTGAATTACTGAATGCTCTTGGAACATCCTCCTGGGCTAAACTAGGACATAAAGCACTTACATTTGTGTATCTGAAACCGTCTACCTGATAAAAAAGCAGCTTTAAATTTTTCAACCTCTGATTTGGTGTAACCCCCCCCCCCAAAAATATACAAGTGACTTATTCACAATTTTAGAATTAACACACAACAGTCCTCCTCTCTCCCCACTCCCAACCCTACGAAGATCTCATTCAGTATTTACCTGTTCCTAGGGATACATTTAAATAGAAAGCTCTGAGACAAACCCCACTTATCATTCATGTGAAAAAAACCTGTTACAACCATGGGACTACTTGTGGCAAGTGCAAGGAGGATGATTCCTAGTTCAGATACTACATTTCAAATTTGACATAATGTAGACCGAGTATTTTTACTCATTATAACAAATATGTGTTAAAATGGGACCTTTGTTCCTTAGAGGCTCATCTGTTCCTGTTGTTTATCTTTCTTCTAAAGTAACAAACCCTTGTGAGAGAACAGTCATGTCCTCAACACTGATAATATCACAGTGGATTAAGTCTTCAAGCAATGTAAGTAGCAAAGAGCAAACACGCACCAAAGAAAAAGTGTAACTTTTCTAATCAAGTGTTCTTCATGACAATGATCATCTATGCAAATACAAGCAAAACTGTTCTGCATACCTAAGTTTCTTAGATTTCCCACAAGGGGTTAGCTGTTGAGGCACTTAATGGTAAAAAAAACAAACAACTTCATACCTGTGTTTTATTTGCTTACCTCTATAAAGACCAAAAAAGCCTTCATAACGCAAAACTTTTTTAAAACAATCAAAGCTGTTTTTGTACATCAGCTCTCCCACGACTGAACCAGAGGTGCGCTGATTCTGCATACGTGTCTTCACGAGGTCTATGGGGTACACAGCAGTGGCTCCCACAGCTATCAAAAAACATCACAAATATTATTTCTACAACACCCCAGGATGCACGTGTGACACTTAACTGTCATGACATACCAGTTTTCAAACAGTTACCCAAACAACAAAAGAACAGAAGCGGATAAATTTTCCGAAGGGGTAGAAAAACAGAATGGCAAGTGTGGAAGCATAGAAAAAGTGGCACCAAAAGAGACTAGAATGTTTTGTTACAATTTAATAAAGTGTTAGAGATTCAGGATCCCATCCCAGTAGCCATACTGACATTAGTTACTGGGATAAAAGTTTTAGAGAAGCAGAATGAGAAAAACTGAACAGAATGGGCACCAAGAAAATAGGCAGTTGAAACACCCAAAATAAGTAGGATGGTTAAGTTATTTTGAGGAAAGGTAGGCAGAAGGCGTGGCAACAAGAAATGGCAGGTAGGTTTATGAGTAAGTGTCTTAAATGATATGAAAGAATGCATGATTCAAGGAAAAGAGGAAGGAGCCAGAAGAGGCAAGACCTGGATAAGAGAAAGGGGAGGCACCAGGCAAAAAAGAAGATGGGGAATCTCACAGGCCTGAAAACTGGAAGAAAGATGGCAAAAAGCCTTAAGAGGATAAGGGTAAGAAAGAAGTCACGTGCTCATATCATATGCAGTCAATTTCATTTGTAAGAAACCTGCAAGATTTTGAGTGGAGAAGGAAGACAGTAACAGGAAGGATGTGCTTGAGCAAAGAGTAGGTAGAAATTAGAAAGAGAGGTTTGGAAGAAAGAGTAGAGCTGGACAAAAATAAAGAAAGTTCTAATTTTCAGTGGAGAAAGTCTGTTTAGGTAGTCCAGACAGCCAGCCAGTGGAGTTCTAACCTTATTTTATTCAAACATTTTAATACCATCTAATTAGTTATGCTTAGATATAAAAAAAATTCATGATTTAGAGTCACATTACTAATCTGCTGTAGTACATGGCAAAAAGGAATGGCATAAAAAAGTTTTAAGAGGCATGGATATAAAAAAAGTTTTTACAATAGTGCCATGAAAATGTATTTAGTCAAGTAACTATTCATGTACTGCCTAATATCAAAGGGATAAAACTGCAGTATAAATACTGAAATTGTTCTTTTCTTAGCGCTTACTATTTGGCATTAAAAATAAAAGTGATGAATGCCATGCTATGCACTTTCTATTAACTGATGCAATACATTTTGGATATTTGTAAGATATTTCTTATGCTCTAGGAAGTATTAGTTTGCATCAAGATCATTCTGCACTTATTTCAAACTCTCACCCAGTGAGAATGGACAGTCAGTCATGTATTTAACTGGGACTCAAAACCAGAGTTTGTTGAAACTCAGTATTTCCATTTCACAGGAAGCTGGCATATCAAAATTAGTTTTCATTCCATATAAAAATAAAAACTAATATGTTTTTAATTTCCCAAAAAAAATCAAATTCCTAAAAAATTTCAGAAAATTTAATTTTTTGATTCTTTTAAAATCTCAGTTTGAAATGTCCTTTTTATGCCATGTCAAAGTAGTACATCATATTAAATGCTGTTATACCTATTGTGAAATGCTATTTATTTTCATTTTCTTAGTATGCTTACAATCATATGCTATAAAAAAGGTTTTTCCAAAACAAACATATTCTGAAAAAATACGTCTAAAATATTTCATTAAAATGAAAATGCACAAAAAGTCAGTTTCTTTGGAATAGCATCTTCCATTGCCAATTCTTCCATACTGCTCATTGTATTCAGATACCTGCCTATTGAGCTAGCTCATCTCCCCACTGCTCAGAAAAGTTTCCTGTTTATGTTTTAGAGAACTGCACTGAAACTGATGTGCCA